CAGCAAAACTATTTTATATCTGACACAGAATGAAGTCGTGATTAAATTAAATCTGACACGAGATAGACACGCCAACTTTGCTTCGCTTTTTTTTATGAAGTCAGAGTTAATAGACTCTGATGAAGTTAAATGGTTTCCTGCCCAGGCTAATCAATCAGTCCATCCAATCAGTCCAACAATCAATCGATATCGATCAATGGATCGATCAATCAATTAATCAGCATAGCCATATTTATGATTAATACTTATACTCAAGCTATAATGTTAATACAAATACCGGCAGATGAAAATTACTTAATTAGTGATTTTTAACAAAATATGTGATATTAAATAAATTAAGAACAAAACTATTAAGTATGATTTATGAAGTCTCCAGCAGAAGAGAGTGGTAGTTGCAATTGCTCTCTTTCTGGGAGTTGCTGTTACGCTACTTAGCTCCGTGGTAAGAACTATTCGGTTTTGAGAGTTTAGGAAGGTAAAGATTCGGAAAAAAAGTGTACTAAACACAAAATACCAGGTTGTGAGCGGCAAGTGGATTTTTTACAGAAACGTCGATTTCAATCAGGCTCAGCCCGGAAGACACGATTCTGATATTCCGATTGCAGCTGATGGGCCAACTGGTGTAATATATTTGCCATTCAGCTCACGCTCTATCAGGATACTTAAGGACATCGACGACTCGGTAACGGTGTTTGAAAATTGGTACTATGGAGGGAATGCTAAGGTTGGCGACTGCTAGATCCTATATTTTTTAAAGTGACGTCTAACTTAATATTTTCAGCATTGATCCTACATGACGTGAACTGAAGAAGTAGAAAACATTGGACTTGTAGACTCATGTTCTTTCATCATGGAAACTTATTTGTTGAGGCGCGCGATCGATATCTTTTGTTTAGTTGGTTACGCGCGCTGTTTCATGCAGGAAGATGTTCCTTGATAAAAAAGATAGTTTCACAAGTTTTGGCCAAAACTTTCAGAAATTGTATGAAGATAATTTATCATAATTCTGTATTTTTCCAGTCGTATATTTCAGGTTGTCCAGACAGAACTTCTGATTTCCCCTCTGGCTCGGGAAAAATGCTTCATCCATTATCGTATAGCCCAATAAGACTTGGAGTCTTTTCACTGAAATAAACTATTCCGGAGGCCAAAAGATGGGAAAAAAGGTTGGTACGCTACCTCGGCTGAAATGGGCTTCCCTAATGACAAGTTGAAGAGTTTTCGACCAGCGTAACCGTTCAGTACAAGAGTCCGATTCCTGGTAAAAATAAATAATTGCCAAGAGCAGAAAATATACAAGGCCTCTTGAATTCAACAATTTGTCACAGTGCAAAGGAAAAGAAAGAAAAATATAAAAACATTCGTTAGTGAAACTGTATTAAATTCGGAATTTTTGTCAAAACAAAGAGCTATTAAAACTAAAGTTTGACTTTAAATTGAATGCTTGTCTTTATTTGTTTGGCTTTGCTCTTTTGCTTATAATAGCTATAAATAGTTTTGTTTCCACTGACTGTTCGCTTTATGATTTCATCAGTGTTAAGATAACGGCTGTTGTTTTGGTGTTTTGGCATGCGACGTCAAAGGACCTCAATTTGGAGGACAAAACAAAAAAGTTTCAATCTCATGAGAATTGGAAAACTATTGCTTTGCCCTCCCAATTGAGGTGCATTCCAAAGTGCTGTAAGGGGTCTATTTTAGATCAAAGTTTAGCTACAAATTGTTTACTAGAAGGGAAAATAGACACTCGGGAATGAGGGCGGATAAATGATCTTGCCTCTTTGTCTGTCCTCTCACTCTTTTCCATATTAGACTCTAACGCAATGCCAGATTGCTGGTTTGTGAACCTTTTAAATTCATACTTGTTTTCAAGTACTTCTAAACTTAAAATTTTAAAAATCGCATTGAATTTGGTGGAAAAGTAATCATGTTCCCCCACCCCCCCCCCCCC